GAATCCTGGTGAGCTTCCAGCATGGTATATTTAATACTATTATTAAACATAAGCTGGTGATAGATGGATAAACCACCCATCCTGGCCAGCTAAAGTGTCCAAAACCCCTCTCCAGCCAACCATTTCAGCCTAATATCTACTGGCTGGTCAATTTACAACAGCCTGAGCTACTACATTTATCTAAGCTGTTTTTTTTCCGCAGAGTTATTATTATTTATTTACTATTTATTGAGAATCTCTATGAATTATAGTCAAATGTATATACCAGTCTGTGTTCTGTTGCCTGAGCCAAGTGTGCCTGCTACATTACGATGTATTATTATTGATCTACTATTTATTGAGAATCTCTATGAATTATAGTCAAATGTGTATATACCAGTCTGTGTTCTGTTGCCGCACCGGATCTCCGCCAAATCCAGGATCATCATCCCCATGTTCGCTCCCGTCTGTATCTCTACCGCTACTTGAATACTGTGGCTCAAACTGGTATGGTTCCACCACGTTAGACTCACCCGCATGATCTGATTCCACCACACCGGCATCCTCTTCAATAAAATCCACCTCTTCTTGAAAGTGCACCGAGTCTATTAACTGTCACTCGATTTTGTCTCCAGAGTCCGACATCAGCCATATAGGTAGTGTATTATTCTCGTGACGTGCATGCGTGGCGTGACGTCACTTTTTCGGGGTGGTCGTGCAACATCGGAAGCGAGCATGGAAAGTTGTAATAAATCACGATTGATCAATACAACAAGCATATTGTCATGAATGACAAATGATTTCCCATTAATAATAGTATACTGTATATTTTCGTAATAAGAACAGTATTGTCCATAATTTTTTAAGCTCTTTAAACTAAAATGTTGCCAAAATAATGTTGGCAACGGTCTCATTGATTATACTTCCTTTTATTTAGTTTGATGACTGTATTTACTAAATTTGTTGTGACATAGCATTAATGAATGTCATATGTTATAATTAAACAATCTTAGTTCCCCACTAAACAGGTATTCTATTGCTAAATATTGTATGTTCTAAATTATATCATGATTTCTCAAATCAAGGAACGATGGGGGGGTATTCTCCTATCAATTAAAGTAATATGAAAATTAAGAAGATGAGAACAACATGTTCAGCTGTCAGTGTCTCAGCCAATCAGAGAGTTCAGTGACACAATAAATGATGCCACACGCCCAATGGTTTTATTGAAATGAGGGCAATGGTTAGATCCCAGGGGAACAGGTGGAGGACTCACAGAGCTCTGTGTGAATCTGGGAAAGTGGTGACCCTGTAGAGAGCAGATCTGCTGCCTGATGCTGGGATCAATTACTTTGACTGAGCACACGCTCATCATCTCATCACATGTGGAGGTTGAAGCAGCTGTTTCCTGAAGTGTGCCAAATCCCTTTAGAGAATAATCTGCTGCTTGTGGGGTTAAGGATGATAATCATGCTAAACTGTGATCTCTTGAGTTTTCCCACACAATCTCTATTTACAAAAGAAAATTAAGCCGTACTGTATATCCACATCGACATTTCGATTATCCACTTTTAACATTTGATCATTAAATCATTCCCTATATTTATATTCAATTTTTTTACACTGTACAATTCAAATAATGATCACAATATGTCAAACAAGCTTTATTAGGGCGTTTGCAGATATCTCACATTGTATGTCATTCAACATTTTTTAAATCCTGTATTGTTTATATAAATTATATATTGAGGTAATAATTGATACTTGGATGTGGTCATATGTTGTCTGCAAAGACTGACCTGTGTCGTCTCAAAAATGTAAAATGTTCTGTTTCCCAGTGACTATTGTAACCCAGAAAACACATAGTTATATCGCAATTCCCCATAATTATGTAGTCTTACAATTAAACTAACTGACTTAACTAATGTGCACAACAGCATTGCCAGCCATTTTTTTTTATCATGGTAGAAAAACTTAAAAACATTAATCTATGATATTTAACTCATTAGGCTCACTAACAGAACCGTATTAGTGCAAAGGCTTTGCCAAGCAGTATTTATCATGTTGTAAAAGTTAACATAGATATTAATCTATGAAATTAAACACATTAGGAATTTAGCATTTCTGGGAGCCAGGGTGTCTTTAATCTCTTCCTATCGGGCACAGATCTTTTGTCCCACAGGGCTCTGTGAGTGAGGTTCCTCTGGTTTCCCACACTCTGTCCTTTCACTGGAGGAACAATAGAAGTGTGCCTCATTATGCATCACTTTAAATACAATGTCTAATCTCTATAAAGTGGGTACGTTTTTGTGTTAACCTTATACTTTTAAACATCAGCTTTTAAGAGTTATAGCCAAATTGTCTTGCTTTAAAAAATATTTTTGAATGTGCTTTGTCTTTTTTATTTTAATAAGATTAGAATTAGATTACTTGATAAATCCCTTTATTGCAAATACAGTAAGTGACCTCATTTCACGAGAAGTCTGAATAAAATAACTTAAAATGTAGTGCATATAGATTATCAGTAAACTGCTACAGTAAGTGAAGCCGCATCATGATGGTGCAGTGTATACCACTGTTGCTCATAGGAGGATCCTAGCTTTGAACCTGCTGGAGCTTTTATGTGGCACGTTTGATTATCCTCCTTTTACCTGTGTGAGTGATAAGACTTCCTCCCACATCTTAAAGACATGCAAGTTAGGTTAACAGGCGTCTCCAAATTACCGTTACGCAAACATAACGCACCCCAGCAACCTCTAGGATAGAAGAAACATTCTACTCATCATAGTGAGGGCAGGTGAAAGGAAAATAACTCTAAAGAGCAACATATTGAACTGGAGTTGTTTGTTTATTCAACAAGGCACAATGAGCAACATAAAACATGACAGCTTATACGAGAGGTGATGATACATCACAACAACAACTTGTACATTTCTACAATACACCATACTCACTGAGAGTAGAGGAATAACTGTCTTTATAAAAGACACACGAATACTTGACAGGAAAACATTCCCTGTTTGTTAACAAAGAAAATGTAGTAAAATCTAACCTTACAACAGGTCACATTCTTCTTAATAATCAATGATCAAATGTAAATGATATTGTCACAAAATATTGTGAAAATGGAACATTAACCAAAACTTTTAATTGTAGAAGGATGAACATATTGCTCTTGAAACAGAACATTTTTCGATAATCACAGAAAGTGAGGTAAATTCCATCATGACAACTCATCCATAAGAATGACAATAAATAGATTTGATCAATTCAAAAATCCTCAATACCAATGAAGGGGTCAAAAATATCTCCATGTACTAAGTTTTACAACACACATGACATAAAGGTATCACAGGAAAAGTGTTACATTAAGCAAACCTTTAAAAAAAAAGAAACATTTGGATCTTTTAACAGATCACTTCTTAGTTATTCTTCTTAGTTAAATTCAATGACAATGTGTCCATAAAACAGGACACTACATTTGTTGATCATTATGATCAATAACAAAACAAAGGATACTAAATTCCTCATTGATCTATGCCACCAATACATGAAGTACAGTGAGACATAATAATAATAATTGCAGATGCAATCAGATTTGGTTCATGCAACATGCACGAGAATGTTCTCTTTCTTAAATTGAAAGATATAGTTACTGTCATTTCCTCAGGAAATGTCATCTTGCATAACGAAAACCAACAAAACCAACCTTCTGTACAAACAAAAGAACAAGTTCTTAGTATTTCAGAATTCAGAATAATTCACTTAGAGTAATCTTTGAACAATATGGTCATCTCAGTTTGTCTGGTAGTAACTCCAGTCTGTAGGGCTCTACCACGGCCTCCAGGGGGCGCTGTTGACTGCACTCTTCTCTTTGGTGATGCTGGTCTGGATTGTGGAGCTCAGCAGAGAGAAGTCAGCCCCTCTCAGGTTCTTATCAGAGGAACACTGCATCTGGTTGACATGGTTCAGCAGTCTTCTCTGCTTTTCATTCTGCTGCTGCAGTCGTCTCAGGACACAAACTGTCATCTCCAGGATGTCTGCTTTCTCCAGCTTGGAGTCTGGCTGCTGTTTGAGGAACTCTGGACCCAGGAGAGACTTGATCTGCTCAATGCTGCTGTTGATTCGCTCTCTGCGTAACTTCTCCACCAGAGGCTTTCTGAGCTGCAGAAAGAAAAAGAAAGTCATTAATAATCTTATTCTGGAGCTTAGATTTGACATGAACAAAGACAACATCTGAAGGACAATATTGAAATCTTGTTGAATCTTGAATTTACCTTGTGGGTCAGAGTGTGAGGCTCCTGAGAGTTGGTCATTGCTGCAGTGATTGTAGGTGCCATGTCTTGATCTCTGTGCTGTAGAGGTCTCTGTAGAGAGAATCTGATCTCTGCTGGCTTCATCCCTCCTATTTATAGTCCCACATCTCCATATGAATGTGTGGGTCTGGGTCTGACTGCACTTTCTCACAGTCTCAGCCAATCAGAAAGCACTGTTTGGCAATAAGGAGTGCAGCAACTCAATAGTCTTATTGCCCCAAGGGACAAATCCCAGGGGAACAGGGTGGGGGACTGGGGGGGTGATGGAGAGAGACTCACTGAGCTCTGTGTGAATCTGGGAAAGTGGTGACCCTGTAGAGAGCAGATCTGCTGCCTGATGCTGGGATCAATGACTTTCACTGAACACACGCTCATCATCTCATCACACTCATAAGGGGAAACTATTTACTGTGTATATTTAAATTCGAGCTGGGATGAGCTAAAGTGTAAAAGCTAAGCGATATTTCATATTGGTCAATTCATTCACGGAAAAAAATAATATTTAACTGT